TGGTGCGCGCAGGACGAGTTGAACAACCTCCTGAGTGTACCTTGGCGAACACACTATAAATCCAGCTCCTATAAATAGCGGAGGCGGAGGATCGGGTGGGCGGTCTTGGACAAAACCGGCAGGCTGTGGCTCAGGCAAAGCACGATCAGCGCGCTCTATGTCAAACAAGGCCTCGAACCAACGCTCCTCCGTGGCCGGAAGAGCCACCCTCGAGTGCGGCACGGGCAGACGACCCGATAGGCAAGGGTAAGGGAAGGCACCTGCCGTGACATCCATGGCCACTGAGTTCTCATCATCCATGGAGAGTGAGGGTCCGGCATCTCTCTGCTCAACGTATTCTACAACGATGGTACAATGCTTCGTAGCGACATAAGACAAACCATGTTGCTCCACGCCGCGGAGAGCAACCTGAAATCCATCAGGGGGTTGCAAACCCAGGTGTCCAATCAAATCCTCGATCTCGTTCTTGGCATGGTACAAAAAGAGGAAGGACGGGCGGACACCGACCGGTCTAGGATCGATGAACGCAATGAAACCCCTGACATCGACCACAGATAACCAGTGGGGTTTGCTAGCGAGAGCAACGACTCCGTTTAACCGGGTGCCATTGACAGCCACATTATGCAACGGGGTATCAGGCAGCGGCCAGCCTATAAGAGACTCATCCCGGTTGCGAGGGATGGCATCGGCCGCTGTATCACGCCAGTCGACTTCATCCCCTCCTTCAAATGTGATGACGCGCGAGACATGTTCGGAGAGAACAAGCCATTGTCCGCTGAGGGCTGTGGGCCTCGGTGCCACTTCGCCCCAGAACTTAGCCCCGCTTCTTTGCAGGCGACACTCAAGAGGAGGGACTACCTGAGGCGTCGTGCCAGGCGACACAAAGGTGAAAACGGCCCCCGTAAAGGCAAACACGGAGTCACCTGGAACAAGGGCATGCTCCCCCTTGCAGAAGAAGACCTCCCAATCCGTGCCAACAAGGGGCCGGACCCTAAGCTCCAAGCAAAGGTAGGAAACATGAGCCCAATCGCAAACCGCGAAAACTGGTCCCCCCAATGCACTGACATCAATGACATAGACAGCCTTCTCAGTATGCTCGACCCATCTCGGAGCAGCCACAAAAGTGGCATGATCAGCGGCGACCTGTGGGGTCGTGGGGACAATTAGCGCGTCAAAAACCGCAGCAGAGTGCAACTCACCCAGACGATCTACAATACTATGTAGTTCTTCCGGTGGCCTAAGCTGAAGCGGGAAAAACTTATCGGTATACCCCGGCGTGAGGACAGCAAAACCCCCGACCCAAGCTCCATCAGGTCCACGAGCACTTTCATTGTCCTGTGCAACACTGGGGTGGGCCTCAAGATGAGGCCACTCCTGACAAGGCGTGCCCAGGTCCAAGCGTAGTACAGAAGTGAGGAAACCGGAAGCTTCCGGGGACATAGAGAAGACAATCTGAGGCTCTGACAGGAAGCCAACCCACACGAGAACCCGGCCAGCTAGACAACAAGAAAAGCGGCCAGTAGCAGCCCTGTTACTGGCCCTGCCGGAACGACTTCTGCCCTTCCTATCCCTGTAGGGCTGCCAATTCAAACAGGCGCCACCATTCGGCAAACCAACGACCCCAAGCGACAAAACGGGGGCCGGGAGAGCACCGACACAGGGTGCGAAGAGAGCCTGGGCAAACGGTGAAACCTTGCCAGAGCACACTGGGCACAGCATAGCCAACAAGCAAAGGAACCCTATGCCACATAAGCTACGAAACAGCGCAACAATGCCTTCAAAGTAAAGAAGCAACTGCAACAATCCACCCCTGTCATCGAGTGGCGAGCAACCCTGAGCCACCGATATGCTTCTTTGGCGCCCACTCGACGACATGGGGGAATGGACGCGTGGCGGAGGGACCCAGGCCAGACCAAAAGCCCAATGGCTAGCTTGATTCCGCGAGGAAAACATCCTAGGCAAGGGGACACAGCCAGCATCAATCCAATGAGGGCTTGTCCCCCTACCGAGATCAAAGTTTTGTTGCCAAAAGGGCGAATCAGAAAAGGCCGACGAGGACCGAGCCTGTTCATCAAAGAGTGGCGGGGGGAGCCAAACCAGACCACAAACCCAGTGGCCAGCCTGACTCCGCGAGGAAAACGCCCGATGCATAAAGACAGAGCCAACACCATCCCAGTGAAGACCTGCCTCTTTGCCGGGGGAGAAAACTAATTGCCAAGGGGGCTGGCCATGAGGTGGGAAAGAAGACCTAGCAGCCAGCACCGCGTGACAGGGCATAGAGAAAGCGGCCGAAACCCCCCAAGCCCATGGCTGGTCTGCCACCCAGCTAGACACAAGAATACCCATAGGACACCTCAGCCCTAAAGGAGGCTGCCAACTGGCTGATGGGGCAGCTGAAAGGAACCGACCGAGTCCACAAAACCAGTGGCTGCGCCGGCACCACAGTGGGAAGGCCCGCCGCGGCATGACAGAGACAAGCCCAAAAAGGGATCGACCCGCCAACCGCAAAAGCCTGACAGGGCGACAGCTCAAAGCATGGCCAACGGAGAAGCACGGACAGAGGAGGGACACTGTACATCCTAGGTGTGAGAAACCAGGATCCCAATTCGGATAGCGTCGCACTCTTGCACGTCTACTGGCAGACACGCACTCAAGCAGCTCCAGAACCACAGGTAGCTGCTGAGGACATGTCGCTTTCGAGTGTGCAGAGCCAAACGCCTTCCAAGAGGAATCCTGTCGCGATGCGTCAATGATCACTCCTCTGTAGCATCTATCTCCTCCTCGTCGTCGTCGTCCGACAAGATACTCGGGGGGGCGATCCCGCCCAGCCCAAGGACTTCGATCTTCGGTCCATCCCCGGCGCGAGCGTCCGTGGTGTCCTGCCCAGGTAAGGCGTCTGTACCGTGCACTGCTGGAAGGCCGGCTTCCGCGCGACGCTGAGCAAGTCGTTCGCCAAGTGGACGTCCCGGGGGGAGCGGGGAGTACGGCGTAGGTCTCGTTCTGCTTCCGGATTTGACCTTCCCAGAGGAAGCAACGTCCTCCTTGGCTCTGGCCCCCGGCGAAGGGGCTGGTGAGGCCACCGCTGGGGCCGGGGTAGGCGAGCCCAAGTAAGGCACGCCAGTCCCAGAATCCATCCTTGCACCTGCTTGCGTCATCGTTGCCTTGCCAGCTGGCTGCCCAAAATAGGAGAAAGCAGTGGGCAGCCCCGTCTCGCCGCTGCCACTGCCGCCACCAGGGAAACCACTGACTCCAGCCATCATCGCTGCGAGATGCACGTTTGCCGCGTGATGCCTTGTTGCCTCCGTCAAAGCGTTCTGATCGCGAGCTGCTCTGCTCGCATCCGGGCCAGGGGTCCAACCATCGAAGCTCGGAGGGCCACCTGGGATGCCAGGGGGCCCCGCCTTGGCGGCCGCAGCTGCTACCCCAGCAGCATAAGCTCGTCTCAGCACCTCTCCATCCGTCTCTGTGTCCTGACGAACCTGGCCCATGAGGGTGGACCAAGCCTCGTCCTCCTCGGGTGCTGTAGTATCCATCTTCGCTGCTGCATGTCGATGTCCATGGGCCTCCATGAGCTGCGCTCTTGCCTGCTCCTGTGCTTGAACCGCCTTCTCGAGGTCGCCATTCAAGCGCTCGACATCCCGGTGGTGTCGCTGCCATTCTCGGCGGAAAGACCTCTCCAGCTCTGCTAGATAGTTCTTCCACCGCATAGCCTTCTCCTCCTTGGCGCGCACAAGCTGCCTCACCTTCTGCTCCGCTCGGCGCGTCTGGTTCACGTAGTCCTGAATCTCGTCCACAAAGGAACCGGCCATAGGACCTACGTCCATGTCTGCGGCCTCGTATTTGCCGCCACCCTTCCGACCTTGTCCCTTCTGGCCAGGTTCTCCCATCTGCCGGGCGTCGTACTGCGGGAACATCGAGCCCCCGTTGTCCCGTCCCATAGCCGATGAGTAGGAGCCACGCCAGTAGTCCCAGTAAGCTTTGTCGCTTGCCTTGTTGTCCGTGCGCCATGTTCCTCTTCCCATTCCCCAGTACTTCGGGGACGCGTGATGGGTCAGAAGCAGCCTGAGCTGTGTGGCAGTCGGAACAACCCCAGCTCGCAGCTTCTTTCTGGCAGTAGAGCGCCGGAAGCGCTGCCTGCGGTGCCAGGTCGGAGACCCCGGGAATTTGCCTATGGCGCACAGCAGGTCCTACCTGCAAAGACGTGTGATTTCACACTGGGGCTGCAATGTTCCGCACCCGTGGGCGGCGATTTGAGCCCTCAAAATAATATAGGTAAGTATTTAGGCCCCTAAACCCTAAACCCTAAACCCTAAACCCTAAACCCTAAACCTAATAGTAGGGTGCGGGCGCTTCCGGATTCAAATTGGGTTCAGAGGTTGGCTTCAGGGGCTCGTGAAGCTTTGGCTTTTTTTTTCGCATCGCCTCTTGCGACTCGGGAAAGGGAGGGCTTTGGTTTCGGGCTTCTCCCAAACCTTAGGGTTTAGGATTTAGGGTTTAGGGTTTAGGGTTTAGGGTTTAGGGTTTTAGGGCTTAGGGTTTAGGGTTTAGGGTTTAGGGTTTAGGGTTTAGGGTGGCTTTGGTTTCGGGCTTCTCCCAAACCTTAAAGCTTAAACCCTACACTCCTAAAGACCGCCTAAACCGTTGAAGAAGGCTGCAGCTGGGAAGTGTAGGGCTCTTAGCGTCGCTGTCATGATGGTCACTTTGATTCTTTCACAGCCTTACAGGATGTAGAGAAGAGTGGTAAGATGCGGTATAAGTATTTCGATCTCTTCAGGAAGTTCATCCTTTCAACGGTTCAGGCCGTAGGGTGTCGCACATGCGCGAGTTTAGGGCTTTGCCTCTTGCAGCCGTAACCTAAAGTTAGGGTTTAGGGTTTAGGGTTTAGGGTTTAGGGTTTAGGCCTAAAGCCATCAACCCGAACGCCCAGAAAAAAAGGCCCTGAAGGTAAGAGAAATCCAAAGATGCTAACGCCGTCCTACGCTCGAGTTGTGCTTCCTGGCCTGCAGATCCTGTGGCGCCAGGGACGAGAACCTGTGAAACTGCTCCCACTATGCCTGAAAGTGGATTGCAATACAAGGCCCCCACTACGTAGAATGGGGTTTCGGGGGGTGTACTACTAACTATACGGTTAGGGTTTAGGGTTTGGGGGGGTGTACTACTAACTATACCGTGCTGCTACTACACTGCAATAACAAAGACACCAGGGTATTAAGGAGTCTGACAGTTCTTCAGGCTTCCATGCTAGATTTTTTGGGGGTTTCCAGGTTTACTTGGAGGTTCATGAGCAGTTCTAAGTAAGGCTCATACGTAGGATAGCTATGGTTGTGGCCTATAGTAGGGGACGTTGTGTCTCCACTTTTCACTACCCGGTATGGGCAGTTTCCAGGCCGCGGGGCTCAGAGTCAAGAAGTCTAGGCAAAATCCTCTTTTTTAGGGAATATAAAAATTGTAGTCGGGTCCCTAATATGATTTAAGAATACACCTTGAATTGTAGTAGGATCCCTAAAATGTTTTAAGGTAAATTCCTGGGATTTTGGAAGGTCTGGGTGAGGCCAAGGGCTGGAGCGGTTTCAAACCCCAAAACCCTAATCCCAAGCACTCTCTGGCTTTGCACATGCGATTTCCTGAAGCTGCCATCACTCCACAGTCTCATCTCGTGGGAGTGATATGGGGGCCTCGATAAACAAGGTTTCGGGGTCCAATATAGTATAAATATAGTGAGTAAGGAACCCTGAGTATTTCGACTAATTTTGTGCACGAAGCCAAAGCCTTAAACCATCAACCCTATGTTCTTTGCCCGGTTCTGGCATTGACCTTCGCTCCAAAACACTAAACCCCTAACATCAAGAAGCCCTAAACCCCCAAACTCCTAAACCCCTGAAACGCTGGACCCCAAACCCCTTGACTCCCTAGACCCCCAATCTGTACGGTCTAGGGTTTAGTGGGTTTAGGGTTTAGGATCGGGACCCCTGCACCCTGAAACCCAGCCCCCCAAGGTGCCTAGCACGGTAGACGCAGCCCCTGTATGCGTCCGGGAAGGCCTGGTTCGAAAGCTGGTGTCGTTTTAGGGCTCTAGGTTTCAGGAAGTGGTCTAGGGTTCTGAGGGCACGCTAAACCCGAAACCCTAAACC